CTACAAGTAGACCCAACTCGTGCACCTTGTTCCTTAGGCTACGCACGTTGCTAAGTACTACCTAAAGGAAGTCGGCACGACCATCCCTGGGTCGTGCGCCATCAGGATTGGTTTTGATAGGGCGGAAAGTAATTTCCAGCTGACCACCTGAAAACCCACCAGACGGAGGCCTTGTTCACCAGCCGCCCGTCTAGTTTTGAGTTCTTTGATAGCCTCCTTTAACTTCCACCTATCTGCCAGTGGGAGGTCCGGCTGAACGCTGACACCACTACCCTTAAGTTTGAATGCAAATCGCAGTAACGATTTGCGTTCCTCCGGGGTAGAAAGGACTACGCGAAGTAGTCGGGGTCGTGGATTTGGCGTAGCGATAGGAACGTTCCCCAATCTGGTCACCTTTCTGACAGTGACACCAGGTGGAAGCAGCTTGCTGACACACAGTTTCAGCCACTTGATGTCATCCAAGACGCGTCCCCTTGGGAGAACAGCCTCAGATTCAGTAACGTTACGGAATATAACGCTACTATCCGTGAAAGAGTCGGCACGACGGGGAGTGTGTACCCCACGTGCCTTTGATTCGACACCTATACCAGCTGTTTTCACCACTGACGGTGGGACTGTCGCTGGCTTCCCAAACGACGTCGAAGCAACGGTAGCGTAGGTTTTCCGCTTTACAAACACGTCGCGTAAGCACCCAATAAAACCCTTGCTTTTTGAGAACGTAGAAACAGTTTGTCCTGATGAACAACAACCACAATTCAAAATCGCGTCTGTGGCGGATGGAGCGGCCCCTTCGTTACAAGAGAACACGTCGATTTGCCCGCGTGGTTCAAAAACGTGTTATTTATCAATAAAAACAATAATACATAGATAATCAGGTCAGGTCAGGTCAGCTGGACAATAGAGGCTTCCGCCTAACGAGCGTCCAGTTCTTGTGCCGGTAAGTGAATCGGCACCCAGCATCATCATCATCAACAGCAGTACATCAGCCATTTGAACTGATGCTTCGCTGCCATACAACCATGAGGACCTGTGAAATAAAGAATAAGAAAAGGGAGAGAAGGGGGACTTACCTGAAAACCTTAATGCCCTAAGCAAACATTCAGGGTCAAGGCGCCTACACCTTGTGTAGACAACATACCGTCACAAACAGCTGGCTATGGTGCAAATATAACGCGGCATCGGCGAGACAGCTTCCTTGCGGCTTTCACTGCCCCGCGTCATAATCAGCCATTACCCCGCAGATAACTCAGCACCAAACACACTTTAAACAGACAATCCGATTAGGAGACGGCAGCACACGCGCCACTGGTGTCGGTTGCGAGCCATGTCCTGTAAAGTCTCGAGCCAAGCACAAGGTGAGTCACGTGGACTCCAACCCGGAAGGCGAGACGGACCAACGGCACCCAGTTTGGTCGTCAGTGACTTCATTTCCCGCTACCAAGTCAACTTCTGTCCACCTCGAGCCTTGCGCCATCCTACACCTGGTAGACTAAACAAGGCCCTCCTAGGTAAGCGGTGACCAGGCATACGTAGCACGTGCCCGAGCCAACGTAACTTATTCAGTGCTATCTGTTGTTCTAGGGCGCTAGCATGATCATCACCCCCTAGTACTCGCCTACGCACATCATCGTTGCGGACACGCTGGTGCCATCCGACACCAGCAATGCTTCGCAAACAACGATGATCAAGGACTTGAAGGCGCCTCAGATCTTCAGACCGAAGGGGCCAAGTTTCACTACCATAGAGCAGAACGGCCCTCACTGTGGCCTTGTATACACGGCCTTTCAGACGGAGGGAAACTCCCTTCTGTCGCCAAAGATGTCGCAGGTTCAAGAAGGCAGCTCTGGCCTTTGCAATGCGTGAGCTAACGTCATTTTCTATGCGCCCATCATTGCTGATGCAGCTGCCAAGATAAGTGAATTGATCAACCACATCGAGTTCCTCGTTAGCAAGCGTCAATGGGTCATCGAGTGGCTGGTGGTCCTGCAGCAACACTTTGCATTTTGAAGGTGCGAAGTGCATACCAAATAATGGGACCATTCTGTATAGGTTATTCAGGGTTGATTGTGCCGCCTCAACATTGTCGAAAAGCAAGACAATATCGTCCGCATAATCTAGATCAACTAACCTTTCACCAGGCAGCACTTCAACACCTACATCGTGAGATTCCGCAAGGGAACACTTCATGATAGAATCCACGACGAAATTGAACAAAAATGGGGAAATCGGGCAACCCTGTCGAACGCCACTTGTAGTCGAAAAGCTATCCGATAGGGCACCATAGACCCTGACGCGGCCTGTAGTGTTCGAGTATAGAGCACGAAGGATGTTCACATATTTCGTGGGAACACCTTTCCGCGCAAGTATTTCGAACAGAATCGATCGATCGACTGAATCGAACGCACTCTTGAAATCGAGGAACACAGCTATTGTCGGTCTGCGGTATGCGTGGCGCTGCTCTAGCACCTGCCGCAAAGTAAATATATGGTCTATACAGCCACGTCCTGGGCGAAAACCGGCCTGCTCTTCTCTAATCCGAGATTCCCGTTCTGCAGTGAGGCGACGAACGATAATCGAGGCCAGTAATTTTGTCACAACTGGCGTTAGGCTAATACCCCTGTGGTTAGAACAGTCTGTGCGACTGCCCTTCTTGTATATTGCCACTATAATCGATTCGCTCCAATTAGCCGGCACACTCTCTTCGTTCCAGATACGTTCGAATAGGGAGGTCAGTGCTTTGCAGAGGACCTCACCACCATCCTTAAATAGTGCAGGTGGTAGGGAATCCGGGCCAGCGGCACGAAAACGATTAAGGGCTGTGATCGCGTTTCGGACTTCGGCCTCCGACGGAGGATCTAAACTAACCGTCCATGGCTCGTCCTGCATCACCTGAGTAGGAAGAGGTCCGGGAGCAGGGGGCCAGCTGAACTGATGTTCAAAGTGCTCAGCCCAACGAGCCATACGGCGCTGTTTATTGTGTATCAGCGCACCCGCGCTGTCCCTGATTGTCTCACTGATGCCTGGTTTTCTCGGACCACTGGTGCGTATTAGCTGGAAGAGCTTCCGGTAATTGCCTACTGCTCCTGCCTCCTCCATTTCTTGAGCCCGACTGGTCCACCAGGCTTCCTTGTCAGCACGTAGGCTCCGCTTTAGTTCACGCCTAATAGCCCGTCTGGTCACATTGTGTTCAGAACCAGCCGGGAGGTGCCTTCTAGCTTCCAAAAGGTTCACGGACCTCTCGGATATCCAGTGACTGGTGCGATGACGACTGATAGTGCCACAAGCAGATGCTCCTGCATCGTGCATAGTGGCCGAGATCTTATTCCACTGAAGTTCAGTATCATTAGGACAAGACAGCGAGAGTTCGCTATGCAGTGCTTCTTGATAGGCTTGCCTGACAGAGAGCTGGGACAATTTCTCCGTTGCCAATCGGGGGAGACGCTTTGTGCGCCTTCCGGTAAAGTTCATGGAGAAACGACAGCGCACCAAGGCATGGTCAGAGTCGACACAGGTACTCCAGTACGAGCGGCAATCCAGAATGGAACCGCGCCACCTGTAACTTATGGCTATGTGGTCAATTTGGGTCCATCGTTGACCAGCTACAGGTGGACGCCAAGTGGCACTTCGGCGCCCACTGTGTCTAAAAGCAGTGCTAGTAAGAAACAACTGGTGCTCCGCACACAGTTGCAGCAGACTCTCACCGTTGTCAATCCGTTCGGCGTTAAGTCCATACTTACCACCCAGCTGAGCTTCTGAAGAGCTCAGACGCCCTACTTGTGCGTTCATATCCCCTGCAAGTACTATAATATCTGAACTAGTAGCACTGCGTAGCAGCGTGTTCAGTTCGTGATAGAAAGTGTCCTTGACTGCATTAGAACTGCAGTCGGTGGGAGCATAAGCAGAGATCACAAACAAACAGCGTTTTGTTTTACTTCGCGAATTCACCTTAGCTGATGTCGTCAAACGGGCTGCACATGAACGACTGTTCACCGGAATCCAGTCAACCAACGATGTCTCAGCCTTGCAGCTGAGAATGATACCTACACCAGCTTGACCCGTGAGTGCTGCATCGGCGTCTCCGGATGCGTGCAACCAATAACGAGAGGATAAGCCAGGTGCAGTCAACTCAATAACCCCGTTGAAATGTAAAAATGAAATGTGTCAGCTTATACGCCGTAACGGCGCTTCGCTGCCGCGCGACCACCACCAGTCGCGCGCGGGCTGAGTATACCGCGAGGACGCCCACCCCTACACGGAGTCGAACCGGTGACCTTATGGTTGCAAAGCAAACGTGCAGACCACTCGGCCACCGGCCGTTAGGGTCATTAATCCTAGTTTCGGACACACAACACACATCAACACCTAGTGTGTCCAAGGTGCGTGCGAGTGCAGCCTGCTGACCTGTTTGTCTTAGAGTGCGGACGTTGAAGGTCGCCATGGAAACGGGACAGCGTGGTCTTATACGGGACTTTTGCCGATAGGCGTCCGATAGGTGCTGTGGGATGGTGGCTGCAGATGGTTCTACTCCAGTGGCACTTCGGTTGCTGTCAATTAAGCTGGGAATTATAGAAGGAAGGTTAGTAATGGGGGCCGGGATGGGAGTAAGAGAAAAAGGTGGAAAAGAAAGAAGGGAGGCGCCAGCAGTAGCATGTTTTCGCTTATCCGCCCTGCTGTATGCAGCAGATAAGGCGACCCTTGATAATCTGCGCGACGGCCGATGCAGGATGAAGTTTATGTTTGAAGAAAATGTCATGGTTGTATGTGGGCTGGGATACTGCCAGGGCGCCCAGACCTAGACAGGAGAACGATTAGGGTCCTCATCCAAAGCCTTTGGCTCAAAAGCCTGTCCGCAAGGCAGCGGGGTGGCAGTGATTTAGTTTTACAGAAATGGACGCCATCCCATTTCAAACCCCCAACCTGGAGGACCAGGAGACTGAGTTTGTCTGACCTCTCACCATTGACCAACCTGGTAGGAGTAGCTCTCAAGATGCTCGGAGGCACCCAGCAATTCGACGTTGGATTGTTTCTTGCTTCTGCAATGGAATGATTCAAGAACAAGAGCAGTCTCTGCACTTTCATATGACAGCATCAAGATACACTACATATACCAGTACAACTACAATAGCTCTGGAAAAAGGGTGGACCAACAATTGTCTAAGCCCCTATTGAAGGCTGCTACGGTCTCAGACTCCATTAAATCAGAAGGAAGTTTATTCCAGTAGTTAACTACTCGGTTCGTAAAAACTTTGCCCTGATGTCCAAACGAGCTCTGTGATGTTTGAGCTTCAGGCGATGCCCGCGCAGATGGTCTGACGTAGCCAACTCAAACAGATGGGTGGAACTAATACCACTAAGTCCCTTAATGATCTTAAACGTCTCTATCAAATCCCCTCTCAACCTACGCCGCTCCAAGGAAAATAATCCTAAGCTACTTAGACGATCTTCGTAAGACTTCCCTCGTTGACCTTCAATCATCCTGGTCGCAAGTTGCTGAATCTTTTCTATACGTATGATGTCACTCCGGAGGTACGGTGACCAGGCCTGAACACAATACTCCAGATGTGGCCTGACCACTGCTTTATATAAGGGCAAGAATACTTCTGCTTTAGTGTTACTCAGCGCCCTCCTAAGACGAAATAACTCGTGTCGTGCTTTATTGGCAGCATGGCGACACTGTGCCGAAGGCTTAAAATTGTTCGCTACGATGACACCTAGATCACGAGCTTCGTCAGTACATCGCAATGATAGAGATCCCACAGAAGACTGAACTGCAATTCCGCTACCACTACTAGTCAATAGTTGACATTTGTTGGCATTTAGAGGTAGGTCCCATTGGCTTGACCAATTCGCCACAGTGATGATGTCCTTAGCCAAGGTCGATCGGTTTCCCCTACTGACTAGCTTCAAGTCATCCGCGAAGATGTAGCAGGGATCCTCAAGAAGAGGAGCCAGGTCATGTATAAACATAAGAAACAGCAATGGACCCGGAACCGAACCTTGGGGGACACCACTGTAGGCATGGCCAACAACAGAACTCGCTTCCCCAACCCTGACTCTGAATGTCCTTCCACGTAAGAATTCAGAGAGCCATAGTAATAGTTGAGAACGCAATCCAAACCATGTCAGCTTCTCAACTAAAAATCGATGATTCACGGAGTCAAAGGCTTTACTGAAATCCAAATAGCACACCTCTACCGATATCCCACTATCAAGACAACGGGTAATCTCGTCTAAAAAGCACAGTAAATTGGTAAGACAAGACTTTTTTTGAGAAAGCCATGCTGTTCCGCTCGAATTAGATTGTGCTCAATCAAGTGCTCACAGATCCTGTTCCTTATAAGCTTTTCTAAGCATTTCAGCATGACGCTGGTCAAACTAACAGGTCTATAGTTAATAGGCACCGACTTAGAACCCCCTTTGTGGATGAAAACAATAGTCGCCTCCTTCCAATCACGTGGCAGCTTGCCTTCTTGAAGAGACTGGTTGAATAACTCCGCTACGGGATACTGAAGGACATCAGCCAGCGGCTTAACTATGGCGGGATGTACGCCATCAGGACCGGCTGATTTATAAGGGTTCAAACTAGCCAGCACTGTGAAGACCTCTGGCACACTGAGAATAATTTCCCGCATTGTGTAGCTAGTTGAGCAGTGCGGCTGTGATGGCAAGGCTGACCCACTATTCTTCCGATGCAGGCTTTGGTAGACACGTAGCAGCACTGCTACTTTATCGACGTCGTCTACAGCCTGGGTACCGTCCTCCATGGTTAGACAGCCGACGACCTCTCTTAAAGAAGCCTTTGACTGGACATAACTGTAATAACACTTGGGATTAGTTTTCGCGAATTTGGCCAACCTGAGCTCATATGAGTACTTCGCTTGCCGCTGTAACTTAGTAGCCATGTTTCGACACCTTTTGTACTGCAGCCAGCGTCGAAAGCCCCGAGTTTCTTGATATTCTCTCCACTCAGCATTGCGCTTCTTTATCGCTCTCTCAATTTCTCCACCATCGGGGTTTCCCAAGATGTCTCCTGGGGCGAAGAGGAACAAATTCATTCAGCAACTATACAAGTCCACTTTTAAGTAGAAGCCACCTCTGTTCCAAAGTGGCCTTGTCCTGCTCAGGAACCCAAGTGATCTGAAGGGCTCGATCCCGCAGCTTCATAAAATCAATACGATTTAAATCTCTTCCCCTTCGACGGTTCTCTGCAAGCCTCGGTGTGTCCAGAGAAAAGGTCAAAACACAATGATCACTCTTACCTATGGGTGGCTCCACGCATAGGTCAATCAAGTGACCATGTCTGGCGATCACGATATCAAGGGTTGGAGGGGTACTCCCAGTACGACTCCTAGTCAGGACATTGACGTACTGCTCGAACGCATTTACATGCATCCAATCTACTAGTTCCTTCTCTAAAGTACCCACTCTGTTTTCGGCATGCTGCCAATCAGCATGCGGAAGGTTTAGGTCACCGACGATCAGAAAATTAGGTGCGGCCATTGCCGCCTGTCTTAGTAACGTACCAAGATCCCTGTCCTCTTCTCGCGTGGAGGATGGGCTACGATAAACACATACTATGATCTCCAATCTACCCCATGCTTTTAGATAGCAGGATACCACCTGAACATTAGCAGAACTCATGGTAAATGGAGCCTCCCAGTGTTTATATTGGCACTTTATAAGCAAGAGTACCCCTCCACCAGTCTGATACCCGGGCCTGTCAGCCCTGTAGCACGCAAAGCAGATCACCAATAAGGTCATCTGGAGAGAGCCAGGACTCGGACACAGCAGCTACATCAACATGCTCACAACGCGTCACTAATTCCCCCCATTTGTTACGCACACTACAACAATTGTCGTACCACACGCTTAGTCTTTCCGAACGCGGTTGTTTCCCCTCGGACACAGAGCCCGAGGGGATAACCCGTTTTTTGGTACCATTTCATTTCGATCAGCTGCCTGAGTCGATAAATCAACGCTGGGCTGCTGTAACGCATTACGGGATAATCCCTTTCCTGGCTTCGCCCGCCTGGACTTGCTGGATAAACTCCCGATGGGTTTCCTCCCACTTATCTGAGTCGACCTGACAGCACTGCACTTCGGATTTTCTGTACGGCCCAATTTAGGTGTGGCAAGTTTTTCATTTATAATATCATTTTGTGAAAAGGGCATACCACCCATGGACTTTGGTGCCACTACTATCGAGCATGAGGCTTCCATTGTTCTTGAACGCACCGGCTGAAGTCCCATTGCCACACCTTCACTACCCTCTTCCGCCATAGTGTGATTCTCATTTTCATCAAGAGCAAGTTTCTCCACAACCAAATGTAGGCCAGGAGTTATCTCGCTGGCATCTTGTGAAGGGGATTGTCCAGACAAGCTGTCTGCCCTTGCCACAGAAGAGCAAAGGCTAGAGGTTTGCTTAGGTGTCTGCATAACGTGAGGCCCACTATCATGAATTCCAGCGTGTGAGACTGCAGCTTCGTTATCCAAGCTGGTATTAGTGCCTTCTAACCGGCTCAGCCGAGAGGCTTTAGCCTTCGAAGTCAGTGTGTCCGGTGCTATTTGATACCGACTATTTGTCTGACTTGCAACCAACCCAGCCCTGTTAAGTAGAAGGTCCCGGTGTATAGGGTTCCGAAACTCAACCAGGATAGGCCTTGCATAACTTTGGTGGCGGAGCATACTTTTTTCTCTCCAGCTGCCAACACGATGTACTCTTTTGATACCAACGTATAACGGTATTCCGGCTATCCGAAGGATATCTTGCACTCGCCTTCTGTCTAGGTCCCGTCGAGTTTTAGTTTCTCGTATGACTGGCTCCTCCCTATTGTAGATAAGAACGTTTCGTTGTCTACCCATAGCAAGTTCTGCACTTCGCAAGTAACATTCCAATGAAGACTGCAACTCTTCAACTTTTGAACGCAATGTCTCTATTAGCAAGCTCTGTTCACAAAGCAACTTCTCGGCACTGTCTAGTATATGCACACAGCTTGTAGTGACCATGACATTATACCTTTAGAGGGTTGCCTATTCCGGGAGCCCAGAGAGCGATTCCAGAAGACAGATCGAGTTGCAGGGAAACTTTTATTGGTTCAGCAAAAGATTCCCTGTTAGCTAGCTATAAATGAACGACACCGTGGACGCTCTAGCTAGGGGAACTGATCAAGCACAGCACACAGAGCAGTCGCGCGTTGCAACCGAAGCGAGCGCCAAGCAAAAATGGCGATGAGCAAGTAATGCATTCGAACTCAGCAAGCAGTTCAACAAACCACACCGGTTGCCTAAGTGTACAATTATAGAATTTTGGTTAGAATTTTACACAAGCAAACCGGGGAATCTCCAGACTGCTACATAGCCCTCTCCCAGAAGGGACTGTGTAAGCAGTCCTTCGATCTACGTGAGGACTGTCCGTCGCGGGCCAGCCTTCTGCGAGACCAGGTTGTGAAACCCGATGCAGCTGCTGGGGGAGAACCATGCAATCGGACCCTAGCGGGCTCCCACCCGTGTCCTCCCTACGGTGTCGAAACGGTAAAAAAAACTGTTTTAGGGGGGGGACAGTTAATAAAGTTCACGTAGGCGGTTGAACAGGAAGTTCGTTCTACTTCCAGTTGACGCGCGGGGATCCAGCGGAAAGTGAAACCGAGGTGCAACCAACCGACGGGGTGTATATGAAAAGCAAATGAAAAAGCAGCGTAAGTGCATAGCAATACACAAAAGAGTGTAAAGCGAAAAACGTGCAAAGCTGTTTTGGTGTTTTCAAAAGGTTTTGCTCTTTTTTGGTAGTTTCAAAACGTTTTGGTCTTTTTTTGTAGATTTTCAAAAACGTTTAGTAAGAACAGAAAATTTCTAAGGCACGTTCTACGTAAAAAAGTAAGTGCGAACGGAGTCCGAAAAACGAACCTTAGGTTTGAGCTTCCTACCGCGTTGATTGAGAGTAGGGCGGGTAGGAGTGCTGTCGGTTGTGGTTGTCGGTTCTGCCGGAGCGGACTGACTCGTCTGAGGTTGCGGTGCCAGCTGTGATGGCACAGGCTGTGAAGGTGCTTGTTGCACCGGCGAGTCAGACTTGTCGAAGAATGCTGGCTTGAGTCGATCAATGGTGATCGTCTCAGTGGTGTTGCGTCGTGGCTTGCTTATGTCGGGATCAGCTTGGTGGGCAGCAGCCTTGGCGGCTAGATCAATGTTTGTGCCAGGCGATAAGCTGATCTGCTGAATGCGTGAAAGAGCATCCGCGACGGGATTGAGAGCACCTGAGACATGACGTACGTCTGTCGTAAACTGAGAAACGTAGTCTAGGTGTCTAGTTTCCCGCGGCGAGTACTTGTCTGTTGCGCCATTGATTGCGTAGATCAATGGCTTGTGGTCGGTGAAGACGGTGAAATGTCGACCTTCGAGGCAGTGACGGAAATGTCGGATACCTAGGTAGATAGCTAACAGTTCCCTACCGAAGGTGCTGTATCGCGATTCGGCAGGTTGTAAGCGCTTTGAGAAGAAACCAAGAGGTATCCATCGACGGTCGATGAGTTGTTGAAGAACTGCACCGACGGCAGTGTCGGAAGCGTCAGTCGTCAGAGAGAGTGGTGCAGACGTGTCTGGATGGGCGAGAAGCGCTATGTTGGAGATAGCATCTTTGAACTTCTCGAAAGACAGTCTAGCGTCGTCTGTAAAGTGAAAAGACCGTTGTTTACCGCGGAGCAAGTCAGTCATTGGTTGAACAATGCTCGCGCAGTTAGGTATAAAGCGTCTGTAATAGTTGACCAGGCCAAGGAATCGGCGTAACTGCTTGAAGGAACTGGGAGCAGGATAGTCCTTCAGTGCCTGGATTTTGTCTGGCAGGGCTTCGATACCAGAGGCGGATATGCGGTGGCCAAGAAAGTCGATGGAACTTTGGCCAAGCTCGCATTTATCAGGGTTGACGGTAACCCCATGCTGTGTTAAGCGCTGGAAGAGAGCGTCGAGGTGACGAAGATGCTCCTCGTCAGAAGAGCTGGCGATGAGTATGTCATCTAAATAAGGGTAAACGCCTTCGAGTCCTCGCGTTACCTCATGAATGAAACGCTGAAAAGTTTGGGCAGCGTTGCTGAGGCCGAAAGGCATTCTGAGGTACTCGAATAGGCCGAATGGCGTAATGACTGCAGTTTTAGCAATGTCGTCTGGCGCCACAGGTATCTGATGGTAGGCGCGAACTAAGTCGACTTTGCTGAAGATAGACTTGCCAGCTAGAGCTGAGGTCAAGTCGTGCATGTGCGGGATGGGGTATTTATCCGGGACGGTAACTTTGTTAAGAGCCCTGTAGTCACCACAGGGGCGCCAGTCACCGGATTTCTTAGGCACCATGTGTAATGGTGATGCCCATGGACTTTTGGACGGGCGGATGATTCCCAGTTCGAGCATTTGCTCGAATT